CCATAAGTAATTTTGATCTTGAATAATTCAAGATGGAATCAATTAGAAACATTTATATCTACAAAGAAAAAAAAATACTACGATAGTTTTAATTAAAGATTAGTCAGCTTTGCATATTTTCGATAAACTAAACTTAAAAAAGAAAGACAATCAAATTATAGAATAGAATCTGAACTTACCACTCATTGAACAATGATGTGTGAATATACAAGATTATAACAACATTTTTCAATCCAAGAGAAACAAGTTATACGCATCGATAGAAAAATTTCTGGTTGTATAGTGAATATTGAAGTGAACCGATAGACGTCATATAAACCTAGAATATAAACAAATTGAGTCCATTGAAAGTAAACATACTTAAAGTTAAACAAAAAAAACACTTTCATTTCAATTATAGGTGACTCAGGATTGAATATGTTTAATAATTAAAACATAAAAAGGAAAACATCTATGCAGAGAGAGCAGTTTGATCAAAATTTAGCACTAATTGATCGAGAATGCGGGACAATTTAAAACAAGGGTAAAAGTTCTGAATGGAGAAAAGAACTGCAAATATGCAATACACGAATGCTTGACCATGGCATTGATTGAAAACATTTATCGAGACTGAAACAAAAAGAAATCACCTTCGTTCAAGTGAAGATGACTCANATTCAAAGTTTGCATGAAGTTACACTTATTACTGAACTGATGATTGTTGAAAAGCCTGATGAAAACCGAGAATTAATAGATATTTCAAGTATTTCAACAGATGAATATAGAAAAAATTTCCGTTTTATTTTTCATACGAAGGAAGTTAAGCAGTAACTTGATTTAGAAGTAACCATAAATACTATACAACATCAATCATTTACTTAAAACAGTAGTGTGGAGCATAAGTGAATGACGTCAATTAGAGTTGAAGAATTTCATTTCACGCCAGTTACATGAGCAACCATAACCGCTCTTTTGATAGATTTATATTAAAAATAATAAATGTAATGAAAAATCATGCTGAAAATATTCCTGTCAGAAAAACAATTTCAGTAAGCAATATTGATTTAATAAAAATAGTCATCGCGATATGGAACATGCAGATGCTCGGCAAGTACTTGGCTGTGAAATTTTAAAAATCAGGGTTCAAGGAAACCAAGATAATAAAACTTCACTGCAGAAGTCATTAATGAGAAAGCAGTGCTTAAAGTATAAAAACTAAGTATTAGTGTGAAAACATAATAAAAAACCTATGCCAGTAAATACTAACACCTGGCTAAAAATGATCATTTAAACAGTAGGTGTTCATTGAAAATAAACACAATGAAATATCGGCCTAGCAAACGTCTGTTCATAGGTAGAATTGATCGTTTAAACAATGAGTTCTTTGTGACGATAAACACAAGGAATATATGTAGAGTAATCATTCATAGTTTTCAACAACAGAGAATTTAAACGATAAGTGTTCCTTTAAAATATACGCAACGAAATTTCATTACAGAAAACGTATGACAATAAGTAGAACTGATCGTTTAAACAATGATTTATTTCTAGACAATAAACACAATGAGAACTTGCCGTGTAACTTTATAGGAATAGCATTAAATGATCATTTAAACGGTAAATATTTTTTTGAAAATAAACTTCATACAACATTATATGAAAAAGCATCTACGAATAGCCAAAACTGACCATTTAAACAGCGATAATATCGCAAGTCAAACAAGCTCATAAATTCATGCAGAAAACGTCTAGAAACGTTGATTTTTTCCCGTTTGGATGAAGAATATTAATCGATTAAGAAACGTGAAGAGTTTACTGTTACCATTGCCGTTCAATATCCATTAATTGTTTGTTTGAACGCAAGACTCTTATGAATAAAATGTGAGATTGTTTCTCTGAATGAGAAAATGATCATTTTATCTGCTTTCTCAGCGTTTAAACGGCCACAGGAACTTTGGAGTATTGCAGGCAAAACTTTGTGAAAGGTAAACGGAAGAAAAGTCTGGTTTCTGCCTGTTTTAACGGGTAAACCATGAATTTATGGTTTAAACGCTGAGAAAGTTTCAATTCGATTTGTTTAAACGATTAAAAATATTGAATGTAGTAAAATTATACGTTTTTATGCTACAAATACCCAGAAACCCTACGTTTACACCTCCAGTTTCCAAAAAACGCGTAAAAACGTTATAATTCGTCGGCTTTCGGCGTTTAAACGCGTTTTCTCAAAAGTTTGTCTGCTTGGGTGGTGAACTCTGTTGTCGTTGAGGTTTAACAGAATCCATGAGGATTTTCTATATATCCCTTTTTATTCACTAAATAAAAGTTCTAACAAATTATGTTGAAAATTAATTTGAAGCTGAGATGGTAAAGATTCATTGTGACCATGACATTTTATCCAAATAATTAACATTAATGGTACAAGAATATTCAAAATTTTAAGCAATCTTGAAGCACACAATACTTCATAAAATCAGTGTTATTGTAGATTGTTTAAACTTCTATAAAAATATAACAGCTTTTGCATGAAAAAACACAAGAAAAAGAAAGAAACGAAATTTTCTATTGATGAAAAAGTTCAAGGATGAGCGCATAAAAAACCCTATTGCCTATCGTAGCGAAAGTTAAAATTTCATCAGGCAAACCTGCATTTTTTCATAGGAAAAAAAAAGAAGTCATTTGGGACAAGAATTTCGTTCCATTCCATCGGAGCTCTAATCATGAGTTCCTGTAACCATTCAGAATGTTAGATTTCGTTTTCAGGGAAATAGATTAAAATGGAATATAAAATTCTAAGATCTATTTTCATCGTTTTCACCTTAAATGACGTGTTTCAGTGGCACAGTAACACGTTAATTAAATTGAACATTCCTCTTCATAGCATATAGATATGATTCATTTTGTTTAATCACATGGGAATGTTTCCTCAAGTATTTTTATTCATAAATCATTTGAAAATTATGCTTTAGCAGATGAACGAGCAAATCATAATTTTTCTGCGAAATCATCATTATAAAATGCAATGCGATTGGAACTTTAGTTTTATGCCCTGATTTGTTCTTTTTCAAGATAAATCCTTTCTATTGATCAAGTTCAGTTACTTCCTTTTTTTCGACAAGCCGATAAAAAACATCTGATCATAAACATATAAAACAGTTTCAAAGCAAATCAAATTATAACCGATTTCATTTTGATTACAAAACAGCTAAAAGCTTACGAATCTGATTGATTACATATTGATTAAAATCCAATATTTATTGAATAAATCAGGTTTTAAATGATTACTAAAGAATGTAATCAAAAATTAGGCCAATACTAAATCAAATACGATGAAATATTCTTATTGATTATAACCGAGGACAATCGCAATAATCATCAAAATCTGATTTTTTTTAATTAGTTTTTTATTTCAATGGATTAAAATCAATTTGACTAAAAAAATCAATTAGAGTCAATTTAAAATTCCGTCGATTATTCGTATTTCAATAGGGTGTGGATGTGGAGTATGAGTCTTCTTTCAACCTACACTAACACCCACACCCATCTTTGTTAAATACTTGTTGAGCACTGATGATAGCTATGATGTCTGATAATGATAATAGCAAACCTATTATTAATAATATTACTTATCATATTTCGAGGGAACTGAAAAATACACAAAAAACAACATGGAATGATTATATTATGCCTATAAATAATTCTTCTATTTTGTTCTATTGATTATTACACTTGGATATGCTTACAAAGATTACTGTACGTATTCAAGCTACTTATATGCATAATTGCGAGCAGTATCGTTGCATAGAAAAAAAATAAAAAGCAGATTTATACGATGCTACGCTAAATATATTAATCTGATGTGAAGAAAAAGAATTGTATGTCTTGTACATATTGAAAAGTAGAGTTCTGATGAGTAAGTGCATCGGGAAAAACGTTTTCTACAGATTATTACATAACACACAGAGATTCGTATATTCCACATCAGTGAAAGAAAAAGTTAAGATCCATAGGCCATATTTAGTTTTTATTTTAAATTGACTACTTTGAATCATAGTCGTTGATATCCTTTCTAATCTGTTATTTGACCACCTGTGACAGCGAGTATTTCGCCCGAGATATAGGAAGAATCCCTGCCAGATGCGAGAAATACGAATGCCGGTGCCAACTCTCGAGGTTGCGCTGGGCGCTTCATTGGAGACTAAAAAGAGAGAGAATCATATAGATCAGTATAATGTTTTTAAAACTCTAATTGAAACAGTTAATGTCGTTTAACGAAACCTGTAAAAACATGTAGCTGAAGTTCGACATCTTCAATCGATAGTTTTCATGTGTTTTCTCATAGTTTTGAAATAACAATAAAAATTACAAAAACGTCTTGTTTTTGAAAAAACTGTGTCTATTCTTTTTAAGATTGAAATATTTTTCTCAGGCTTGATTTATATATTGTCACTCTCAAACTTACATCTGCTCCAAATTGTGCAATTCTTTCTTTGGGATAGTTGGAAACAATCAATGGCGTCCAAACAGGTCCAGGAGCAACACAATTCACTCGAATGCCTTTTTCAAGCATTTTGACAGCAAGACCTTTAAAAATGAACACCAATTATACAACGATACAGGATATAATTGATTCAACTGACCCTTCGTGAAGGCAACAATTGCAGCCTTGGTAGTAGCATAATCAAGGATTTCTGCTGACGGATCATAACTGAAAAGTGAGAAAGCTTATGCTACAAATCAACTTAAAACAATATAGTTTTACAAGTGAACAATACACTTGATAGTTCTTGAAGAAAAGAAAACTAACTCACGCTTGAATAGAAGCAACATTGATGATGGATGAACCTTTGGGCATGTGAGGAATGGCATAACGAGTTAGGTCAAACATGGCGATAATATTCGTTTTGAATGTGTACAAGACTCGATCGTGACTCATACCTTCGACTGAATCCTCCTTCAAAAAGTAATAACTAGATTCATATTTTCAAAAGTAAGATTACAGAAAACTTCATTCCGACTTTGATTTAAACATTTGTTGTTATTTTACTTTTAAATAAACTTACCACTTTTCCACCGGCATAAGCTGCATTATTAACAAGAATATCGATACGTTTGAATTGAGCCACTGTTTCATCGATGATCTTTTTACATTGAGCTTCTTCAGTGACATCACCGGGCTGAAGAAAAGGGAGAACAAAATTCAACAGAATATCACAGAAACATACGTAACTTACAATCAAAATACAATCATGTCCTTCATTTTGAATGACTTCTTGAATTTCTTTGGCATCTTCAGTTTCGTTTAAATACGCAATGGCAATCGAAGCACCTTCGCGAGCAAATGCTAAGGCAACTGCACGTCCAATTCCACTATCACCCCCTGTATTCAATAGAATATTAGTCGTAACATTATCGTAAATGCAAATGATCGTCATAAGCAAAGTAACTCTTTGTATTTTTGTTTTTTTCAGAAGTCACGAGACTCATTTACAGACGAATGAAGAGACTTCGATACCTGTAATGATGGCCACCTTGCCTTCAAGTTTACCAGAGCCATGGTACGATGTATAGCCGTAATCGGGTTTTGGGTTCATCTCACTTTCAAGACCCGGAGAATCTTGCGGCTCAGAATTGAACGGTGGTTGAGGACCGGCCTAAAAAAGAAATATGAAAACAGAACTGAGAACTTCTGAAGAGAGCAAACAATCCGAACCGTTCGAGGATCGCCATCGAGATAGTATGAATCCGATGAAAGATCTAAAAAGAAAGAAATTTAATACAGAATATCAAGTTAAATATTTTATTTGGGCAAAAAGGACACAAACCTGAATATTTTTCTACAAACACCTGAGTATAAAATAATGTCTCTTACTAGAAAAATTATCATACATAAAAAAATTTTCAAGATTTTTTCGTTTTGCAGTTATACTGTGATGAATAATCCTCCTCTTCCTATTCTTGATTAGCAAAGCAAATTTTCAGTTTTTGAAAATGCGTAAGAAATAAGAAACGATGAAAAAGCTTTTTTTACATAAATATAGATATCATAAATACAGATAAATATGTGTCATAGAGACACCAAATAATCTAGTTTGATATCGTGACGCAGAACAAAATTACTTTTCTGTCACATGAGAAAAATGAATAATATTTCACTCTAATAACGTGACGCGGTACATATTCTGGAATGCTATCAAATATTCTTATTCCCGAGAGAATAAAATGCAACTGTTAGACATGAGAAAATCAAGAGTTATCAGTTTCACAAACTTGGTTTCACACTTTGTTATTCTTATGTAGTGTGTGTTGATGGATGAGGGGTATCATAATTCCGTTACACCCGGTATCCGCATTTGCTTTTAATGTAGTGTCAGTGAATTTGGGGTATTACCCTAAAGGTAAAGATCTCTACAATGTAAGTAAATTTTATAAAGTTGAGAAATTTGAGTGAATTTGAGGTATTACCCTAAGGGTAGTGATCTGTACAATGTAACTATATCTTATAAAGTTGAGAAATTTGAGTGAATATGAGGTATTACCCTAAGCGCAATGACCTTTCAACTATAGCTATATGTTATAAAGTTGAGGAATTTAAGTGACTTTGGGGATTACCCTAAGGATAATAACTTGAGGGTGGGTGTGGGTGCGGCTGCAGGTAGAATGAGGGGAAGACTAACACCCATAAACCTACACCGACACACTCACACCCACACACGGACACCCACACTCGCACAGCCACACCCCACATCCACCTCGCCCACACCCACACCCTGTGCGCAATACACCAAATTCACTGAAATTCCTCAACTTTAAAATATATAGTTCAGTTATAGGGTAACAACCTCGTTATCCTCAAGGTAACTGTATATTTTAAAGTTGAGGAATTTGAGTGAATTTGTGGTAACGACCTCGTTACCCCAAATTCACTCAAATTCCTCAACTTTATAGCATATAGCTATAGTTGAAAGATCATTACCCTTAGGGTAATACACCAAATTCACTCAAATTCCTCAAGTTTAAAATATATAGTTAAGTTATGGGGTAACAACCTCATTGTCCTTAAGGTCTGTGTATTCAAAAGTTGAGGAATTTGAGTGAATTTGGACTAACGAGGTCGTTAGCTCAAATTCACTCAAATTCTTCAATCTTAAAAACATGTAGTTCATTTATGGAGTAAGGAAGTCATTACCCCTAGGCGTAAGTCTCATCGTGTAAATGAATTCACTTTTAATTGATTACTCTGTAGGGTATCCTGACATTTACTTCTCGATACCCAGTGTAATGGTATTATGACATCTATATGATGGATACAACATTCAACTAACTATTGAGTTTAGTGGAGAGAAAATTTTTAAAGTAGATGATTCGATTTCGATCTCATTTTTGCCTTGATTATCTTCAGAAGAATAACAATCAATGTTCACCAAAAATGTCTAAATAAAAATTATTTTCACAATGGACTGTATGTTACTACGATGTCACTTTTCTCGTAACAAGTCCAATAATCTTGATGCTACAAGCCATCAACAGCGATGGCCATCACTTTTGGTTGAATAATGAGAAGCAAATGATGCATAAAACTGTTATCAATAGCCGAACAATATGACCATCCGTATTCACTGCTTCCAACTATTCAATAATAGCAAAGAGGACAAAATGAATGTATGAGATACTTTATATCATCCTTTCTCATTTTGTTTTCAAAATACAAATGTATTGCGACACATGTCTAACAATGGTAAAAATGATATAAGCAATAAGAACTACGTAGTAAAGTGCGTGTATCATTATCGTTGAGGAGAATGGTAACGATGAACTGAACAAATAGCATTAGTACTATCTGCTTTTTGATAATGTCTAGTAATGTAAGTATTTCATATCTTCAGTTGAAATCTATACCACATAGAACATACTGTTGTATTAGTGAAAGGACGGGGGACGTTTTCCGTTGTTATCGGCCCCCATAGAAAACATTATCGGTTTTTCAGGAAACTTTCAGCAATTCTAGGGCGCATAGTCAGTAGTCATTCCTATAAATTTCAGCTTGATCGGTCAAGCTTTTGCCTTACTTTGGTGGTACTCAAGATAAGCCCCAAAGTGACCCGTATTAGTGACCTTGTGTACCTTCGTTTTCCACTATATGATTCAGAACCGGAGCCATTTTTTCAGCATCAATAGTAATTATTAACAGCTTCAAAAGTATCCGAACAAGTACCTACAACAAACCTGTCTTCGATGTTTTATGAAGCACACACTACCTCGAATATTGGTTAAAATACGATATAGTAAACTTTGTGCACCTTCGATCTTCACTATATGATTCAGAACAGGAGCCATTTTTTCAGCATGTATAGTAATTGTTAAGAGCTTCAAAAGTACCCGAACAAGTGCCCGCAGAATACCTGTTTTCTATCTTTTATGTGGTGCATAGCTTCCTAATATAGATTAATGTACTATGTCGAAAACCGTGTTTACCTTCCATCTTCACTATATGATTCAGAACCGGAGCCATTTTTCAGCATCAATAGTAACTATTAAAAGCTTCGAAAGTACTCGAATAAATGGCTGCAAAATAACTGTATGGTATGTATGGTATGCGAAATACTGTTTAATATAGACTTTGACTTCAGAAAGGGCACATATACTAATGACGTATCTTCGAGATCCATTGATGAATTAAACTGATGATAGGACACGAAATATGTCAAAGTTTTTTTTTTCAATGACTGATAATAGAAGGGGGGAGAATAGTGTCAGTGTTAGAAATTGTTTGCGTAATATCTATGAAGAAACAAACGACATGCATGAATATTGCCGTTCTATAGAGAGAATGAGAGAAAAAAAGAAAGATAATTACTTTTCTACTGATCATAATAAGAGTCACTGTTAGTGTCGACAGATGACACTATATCACTGCTAAATTTTTTGTAAAGTGTTCCTTGTTCACTGACTCCCGTTGTCCTCTTTCATGTAGTCTGTGGCCGTCTTTTCTCCTTATATAATATCTAGTTTTCTTCCGCACTTTTCTTGAGTGACTTTTTTATTATTCTAAGTGGTCACAGTTTTGTTCAGTCTCACTATCTTCTTCTCTCTGATTCATCTAGTTTTTTTGTTTTTTTTCTACCTTTTTTTCGATGAGCTTATTTTTTCCTCTCCCATATTGTGTTTGTTATCTTCATTATTACCTCACCATATGTATATTTTCAATAAACAAACTGATGAACCTTAAACTCATTATTGCGTCCCCATATTATTAATAATCAAGACTAAGGTATGACATAGTTAGGTCAGATTTCTAGCCCTACACAGAACATGAATTTTACTAATTAACTTTCGGCTTACGTATATCATGGGGACAGAAGTAACGAATAATTAGCGGAAAACCTCAGTCACTTGCATAAAAATGATTATCGAATGTGTTTGTTGTAATGGTCGTATTGATTCCAAGAATCATCATCCGTTTCATGGCATAACAATGTGTCTGTTTGTTTCTACACGAACAAATATGTGTTTGCGGGACTCTGGATCGATACGTAATGCATGTCGAATGTCTTATTTAAAGTGGCGCAATAATACTGAATTTGTTAGCGTGTTAAATCGTCTCAAAGATGAACCAAACGAATCTATAATGAACAACGACGATGAAGTAAGATTATCTGAGCATATTGTTGTCATTACGTATCGATTGCTTCTTTACAATGATGATCAGAATAGTGAATGTGTAACAGCAGCGTCATCAACTGATCCGGTTGATACAAACATTGTGACTTTACCGTTGAATATGACTGTTTCATCTCATCAATATGTTTTTGATAATAATCGATAATCTAAATAGAATACTTTTGTGTTGTAGTCATTGTGTAGTGTGTCGAGAGAATATGAGTTCAATATGTACTATTCCTGATGAAGATCGAGATATTCTATTTATTCAAAGCAATATTTTTATTCCAAAGGGTAGTCGATGTTCTCCATGTCATGTTGTTGATGGACGTTTAATTAATGATGATTTACATAGAATTCGTCCGCTTCAAATTATCCAAACATCTTTCTCTTCCAGTGATATATTAACATGGTTTGACGAATTCCGATATCATTATAATTCAATTCGATATTTTGATTTTGATTCTCCTTTTGCAATGTCAGAATCTGATTGTTACAATCTTACTGGAATCACAAAATTAAACTTTGAGCACCTACCTAATCAGGTTTCTGGTCGATTCCAACATTAAACACTCATCTAATCGTTCATTTCGGAAGGCAGTCGGACTTTTCTTAACAAAACTTACATCAGGAATTAGCAGCAAAGTTTTTACTACCATTTTTCAATTTTGAAATCCTCAGGCTGTTTCTCGCAAACCATTACTACTGTTCGTCAACTTATGCTAACGTATTTCGAGCCTTACTATCTTGGTTTTAATCATATTTCTCCTCAAGAAGTCATTAACAAGCATTCTTCTCCACCTTCCAACAAAGTTCGAATCTAACTTACTATACTTGAACTACAAGAAATTAAACGGTAAAATTCTGTATCAGTTCTAATGAAATATTCACTTAGGAAATCATTTACTTCCCTCCAAACTAATTCACATCATACATATCCGATACCAAGTCTCACATACTTTTGCCACAAGATGGGCAGCATGCTCTCGGAAAAGGCTAGAAGACATCACTTTTCCAGGCACTTGTTCGGGTACCTTTGAAGCTCTAAACAATTACTATTGATACTGAAAAAATTGCTCCGGTTCTGAATCACATAGTGAAGATCGAAAGTACACAAAGTTCACTATATCGTATTTTAACCAATATTGGAGGTAGTGTGTACTTCATAAAACATCGAAGACAGGTTTGTTGCAGGTACTTCTTCGGGTACTTTTGAAGCTCTAAACAATTACTATTGATGCTGAAAAAATGGCTTCGGTTCTGAATCATATAGAGGAAAACGAAGGTACACAAGGTCACTAATATGGGTCACTTTGGGGCTTATCTTGCGTACCACCAAAGTAAGGCAAAAGCTTGACCGATCAAGCTGAAATTTATAGGAATGACTACTGACTATGAGCCCTAGAATTGCTGAAAGTTTCATGAAAAACCGATAATGTTTTCTATGGGGGTCGATAACAGCGGAAAACGTCCCCCGTCCTTTGTAACTTGAAAGATTAACTTAACTATTAAATACTTGTCCAATTATTCAAATATTGAAGTTTTCGTGACACAGTAGTGTCACACCGATATTTTCGCGCATGGTAGTTCCACGCCAGACACTATCGCGCCAAATGAAGTTTTTTGTTTTTTCTGTGTTAAGTTAATGCATCTTCTAAAATTTCATTAACTGCTCTGTGAGTGTGGATGTGAATGTAAGAGAAGAGTTAGAGTAAGACAGTTAGTTAAAAGTTTGAAACTAATGAACTATTCGTAAAAGTGATCTGATCTTCTCTGATCTGTTCGAACAGTTCAGCTCAGGTCACATGAACTGCTCAAACAGTTTTTCGATCTGAGGTGAAATCTTCAAGTCGTTCAGCTCAAATCGACACCTGGTTCAAAAAACTATCTGATGCACCTCGCTTATCCAGAGAGATAATTTTTTTTATGGAAAACTAGGATGCTAACTTCGACACCTGGAATGCTAGACACATAACCTGGGGTGCCACAAGTATCACTTTGGCTATCAGAAGCATCGCAGATGATGTTCATAGCATTTCAGGTGATCATCCTTACGTCCAAGGTAATACTACTGGCATCACAGGTGTTGGTGCTAGCATTCTAGTTTTCCAAAAATATTTATGCTTCAGAACAGTTGAGCTCCATTATGTGATTTCCTGAATCAGGTGTCAACATGAGCCGAACTGTTTGAACAATTCTGTTCAGTTCAAAAGACCTGTTCGAACAGTTCTTCAGCTCAATTGATCTTAGATCATGAGCTGGAACTGTCATAGGACTAGTGCAGGATGTGGAATGTGGATGTACATTCTGGTGCGAGCATGGGTTCGGGTGTGGTTGCTGGAGTGGATTTTAGCGTTGGAATGTGGTTTGGGGCAGTAGGGTTCTTGTTATCTTCATTCCATTCCATCAGCCACATAGAAATCCTGCAGCCACAACAATGGCACAGTTACTGAAATTTTAGAAGTTATATTAACTTAACATAGAAATAACAAAAAACTTCATTCCGGGCGGAAGTACCACGCACGGTAGGGTTGAGCGCGGAATTGTCGGTGAATTAGCAGCAACTAATACCCATTTCAAAAAATATGGCAGGTGGGTATTTTTCAAATAACTTTTGACAGAAGCACGATAGAAAGCAGCGATTTTCATCGTTGGAAAGAGGAGATGACGGCGCATTGAATCACATAATACAGGCTTTTCGAGTAAGCTTTCTAAAGTTTTTTAATCAGTTTTCTAAAAAAAGTACCGAAAAATTGTTTTTTTTTAGTTCATTAGAAAAACGTAAAAAAGTGAATTTTTCACAAAAACTAATAGAAAACTCGGCTCAGAATTTCAAGTAGAATACCTATAGTTCTTAAAGGACTCAATCAAAAAGTATGGGTCTTGCATAACTTTGTAGATGTTCTGTTAGCACTTCGCATCTACCTCAAATTATTGAAAATTCATTTTAGTCACATTACGGAATATGTTCGTTTTCAACAATGTGGCTTTAAGTCCTTTCAAAAACCAAGCTATATTATCTTATAATATACATTTAGATGCGCCGTCATTACCTCTTTCTAACGGTGAAAGCCACAGCTCTCTCTCTTACTTATATGAAAAGTTATTCGAAAAATACCCACCCGCCTTCTTTTTTGAAATCGGCATTAATTACTCTTATCAATGGTAAACATGTAAAATATTTTATATTTTTTCTGTGGCCGTTTATACGAGAATTAGCAGCTTCAAAGCTGTCAGGCGGGTTCAACATAGGAGAAAATGTTACGATCTAATTCCAAGCAAATATATTTTCATGAACAAATTCAAAGTTTTTGAAGTTTTTGAAAAAATCTTGGCTCCGATCTCATTTAAACTATCTTTTTCTTTTCTTTTTTTTTAAATTTAAGTCAGAATAAAGAGTGTGATTCAGCACGTTGGGTGAAATGTTTAATGGATGCTTGGAAATGATTTCGGCCACGGCGCTAAATGAACATTTAACACTCGTCGGTACTGTGCGATTAGAATGAGAAGAGATTGTGATAGAATCTTCTTTTATTTGTCTTTCTTCTGTCTTGGATACCTCAATCATTATTTTGCAGTGTATTAGATTTTAATTGTTACTTCATGCTGTCTAAGGAAAAACATGAAACAGAACGAAAGAGTTTACAATGCATAACTTCTAGATCTACCCAGCTTTTTCAAGCTCTTCAATAAATATTTTCAATGAAAAAGATGCAAAATATTGTTCTTATTTGCCAACTGTTTAGATTACTGCACCGGCCAGTTTCGATTCTAAGTTACAAGGTTTTTCAGTGACCTGACTCGATCTGATTGAGCCATATAGTGACCCGAACTGATCTGACATTTGAATCTATCGGAGTTAATCTCTGTTAATAGTTACTTGGTGATGTATTGGTATCTTCTCAACCCTATTTTGATACTATAGAAAGAAAATGTAGAAAGATAAGATTTTTGACAATCTATACTCGTATCAAGTTAAGAGAATGAACACGAAAACACGATATGAAAGGATTGAAATCAGTCGTCGAAAACTTTAGAATTGGGATAAAGTACTCAGTTCGAAAGAACGAAGCCTCTTATGTATAAACTCTAGATAATAACACTTTTGAATATGATATTCAATTATTTTTAAGCCTGACTGTTTTGAATCCATTTGTAGGCATATAATAATATCTCTACACTGGAGAAGTTTCATAACTATCAAACTTTTAAAGTCAAATACATACCTCATACTAATACTACTGCATATGAATCGTCAGAGTACACTGTAAAAAAAAGGGCAGAATCATAAACCTTTGCACTAAGTATAAGTTTCCATAAACCCTTGAAGGATTTATGATAGCGTCATAAACCCTTCAAGGGTTTATGAAACCAAGGGTTTATGAAACTAATGGTATATGAAAATAAAAAGGGTTTATCACCTTGAAATTCAAGGAAATGGGTTTATGATTCTACGCTTAAGGGTATATTATTCTACGCTTTACATGAAAAGGGTTTATGATTCTACGCCTAAGGGTATATTATTCTACTCTTTCAGGAAAAGGGTTTATGATTTTCTGGGTGTGGGTATATCATTCTGCCCTTTCATAAAAAGGGTTTATGATTCTACGGATAAGGGTATATTATTCTACTCTTTTATAAAAAGGGTTTATGGTTCTACGCCTAAGGGTATATTATTCTACCCGTTTATAAAAAGGGTTTATGATTCTACGGATAAGGATATTTCATTCAACTCTTTCGTGAAAAAGGTTTATGATTCTATGCATAAGGGTATATTATTCTACCCTTTCATAAAAAGGGTTTATGATTCAACGGATAAGGGTATGTTATTCTGCACTGTAAAGAAAACAGTATAATAATAAATCTTTGCGCTAACTACAAATTTTCATAAACCTTTGAAGGGTTTATGAAAGCAAGGGTATATGAAAATAAAAAGGATTTATAGCTGCTATCGAAGGATTCATTATACTGGGATTTACGGAGACGGGTTTATTATTCTACGGTTTCAGCAAAAGAGTTTATTATTTTACCCTGAATAGTTTATCGTTCGAATGCTTCAGACTGCACTGTGAAAAAGTGCAATTTAAAAAAAAGCGTAGAATCATAAACCCTTGCACTAAGTATAAATTTTCATAAAGCCTTCTGGGGTTTATGAAACCAAGGGTATGAGAAAATAAAAAGGTTTTTTGAATGTCAGAAATGGGTATATTACAGTTGGATTTTAGGAGAAGGGTTTATTATTCTATTGTGAAGGGTATATTGTTCTAGGTTTTAACCAGAAGGGTTTATTATTCTTCTTTCGAGGGTATATTGTTGTACATTTTGAGAAGGGGGGTTTATCATTCTATTTTTAAGGCTATATAGTTGTGCGTTTTAAGCAGAAGGATCAATTTCGTGTCAACCTTTTCTCAAAACAGATTATTCAAACATATTACTCCCTAAATTATTTAACCGTGTTATCATTGCACAAAATTTTGAGCTGCACCAGTAAGCCAATCATCTTATGAATAGTTCTTTCTCCCTACTGGCCCCACTAAGTTTTATCAGATTTTTTCCAACGTCTATATTCATCATAAATAAGTATATAACAGTGATGGGNTAGAGCGAAGGACGCTCTATCTGTTCATAAAAAAAGAAATTTTTTTAAAGCTTTTTCTAAGAAAATAAAGTACCTCCGCCACTACTTTTGGACTGCCCTAAGTAATAAACTCTTACACTCATTTCATCGAAAGAATACGATTTTAATCCAAAATATTGATGAGTAAATCAAGTCCAATTTCAAGCGAATTTTGCGTTCATTAAATGAGAAAACTTTATCAGAAAAATTAAAATATTCATTGAGAAGAACAATAAATCAATACTATGTTTACGACGTAAGAAACCACTGGCTTCTATCTACCCTAAATCAAGGTTCTATTGTTGCAAAAGAATTTTTCAAAGCGAAAAAAAGTCGTGATCAGATTGACGACAATACTTTATTGTAATGATATTCATCAGAAACAAAATGAGTTAAAACAGGTCAATAAAATGATTATCTTTCGAACAGTTCCTATCAATCATAGACGAAAACAAGAAAAATAGGAAATGTTGATGTGATGAACTTCAAACTAAATATTTATCTAACAACAGAAGGTAATGGAATTTCATGTGAATGATGATCGACTTCTTGATGAGATTCAGTCGCAGATTGAGATGACTTGTCGAGTTCATCATTCAACTTGGCATCGACTTCGGCAGCATTTTCAGTCTGAACTTCTTTTTTCTTGAAACATTTTTTTCGGATAAGTCGAATAAGAAGAATAACATAGAATGGTTGTGACGATATATAAGATACAATCATTGCAATCACAGTTGATTGATGATTTTCAGGTTCCGGTAGAGAATAAAGAAGAACCATAAAGTCAATACCAACATTTTGAATACCTAAATAAAAAAAAATTTCAATTAGAGTTCAATCGAAAAATTCTATACTAAATTTCAGTACTTCATCGTATTAATTGAGTTCAGTAGAAAAGTTCAAATGATTAGACAATCAGAAATTAATGTCTCTCTCAGTCGTATTATCTAGAGCCGGTACAGATGACTTAACTAATTATAAAACAGATTATTGACATGTTCACTGCTTATTAGACTGACGATGAGAGATTTCATCAATAGTGTACAACGAATCGATTTCTATTTCGAGATCGAATTCATTAGATCTTGTTCATGGAGATAAAGCCAGAATCGATATTCTTTGAAAGAGAATTTCGACTGGACTTTGAACTCGATGGACTTATTCATCGCTTCTAAAAGAAATTCTATTTATTAATTGTTTAAGTTTAAGACTAACATTTGACATGTATTCGAAAGATAAGTTCGGAAAAATTTCTCACAACTAAATAAAAATCTTTTTCGAACGAAAAAAATTCAGCTCGTCTTTTACACACAAAAATTATTGCCCTTCACAAATGTATCATTGTTTAAACTAACTCATCAAATTGAACAAATTCAGTTTCAGTTAATCGGCATTGATAAACTATTAAAAATATTTCGAAAATCTGCATAATCGAAGTAACAACAATTTATAAACTTTGAACACTACTCGATCTGAAATCCTCTTCTTAATTCTTTCAGAACTATTCCAATGTAATTATCGCTATACGAAAAGATTCGAACAAACGGATGAGATATCTCAATATTATTCTCTCTCATAATCGATTTTGATTGAGTAATTCAATTATCTGAAAGTATTTACCTGTTTCGATACCAATCGTTTTGATTCGTATCCAATCTTGTCTAAAAATCCACGCAGTAGTACCTCCTAATAGATAACCAATCCATGGAAGTAAAGGCGTTGTCAAGGCCATTCGTAAGTCAATATAGGCAAAAAGATAAAAATTGACATAGGTACCAAAGATAAAAAAGTAAAAGAGTAATACAATTGAAACAGGTTTAACAATACGATGGACATATGGTTTTATTTTTGGAAATAAATGAACTATAATCATACCTATTGATAATGGAACAACAATAGTGCCCAACGATTTCATTAGACTCTGAAATGGAATAACTATTTTAAGTTCATGTAAATAAGCATAATTTCCAAGTGTATAAAACCAGATTGGCATTATCAAAAATGAAGTTACAGTCGAAACAAATGATATTAATACAGATAAATTTATATCACCATCGAAAATGACCGTCAACTGATTCGATGCAGATCCGCCTGGACAACAACCAACAGCAAATAGACCAAATCCATATAAAGATGGATATCGAAATATTTTTGTTATTGTAAAAGCAATCATTGGCATTAGTCCATATTGACAAACAAATCCAATAGCAACTGTTATCGGTCGACGAACAATCTCTTTCAGAACAACAATATCCAATAGAATACCCATTTGAACAGAAACAAAACTACGATAAATGGTATTGATCTCAAATAAATTCTCGCACTTAAACGTTGTGGTGGTAGACTAAGAACTTCGATTGAACAATTAAGTGAATCGATTTGTCCATTGATATCGATGGTTTTGACATTGTAATTAATTACTGTTCGATTGAGATATTTACCTTCAATTTTCAAATCGATATCAATTATCGGATTCCCTATTCGTTCAAAGAAACATTACATTTTAATTCGAATTTTCGTTCGATCTTTTCTGTGTTTAATTGGTATTCTATTGACTAACCAATGGAAAAGTTTTCATTAGAAATCTTGACTCAAATTTAATCGAATAGTTTGATAGTGAACAGTCGGCACGGACCATATATTGAATCGTGTACGATTGAAAAATGTGTTTAAGAATACATCGTTGATCAAGGAGATCAATATTTTTCTCTCAAGATTTTCAATAATCATTTGAATTCAAAACACACCATCTTTTCCGTTGAAAATAAACTTAATATTTTGGTAGCAGGAAAAATAATCACTTCTGAACATGTGTTAAATACGATTTGATCGTGTTCTCATCTCATATGTCTTCTTTTCTCTAAAAATTGATTTAAACTTACGTTTATGCTCATTAGCGAGATCAATTTGAATCATTATTCGATCTGAATTGTTCTGAAATTCTAGAATTTGTCTATCAACCACAGTTGCAAGTAGATTAACTGATTGAATTTTTCTCTGTTCGAGCCGAGTTCGATTAAATGCCATATGAAACAAATGAGTCGTCAATATTGAATTTTATAAGTCTCAATATAACACATCAACGATTGATCATTCAACATCCAACGATTCAATTCAATTTTCGAATCAATACCATTGATTATTGTGATCAAGGTTATTAACGATGTTACACTAATCATTTTATTGATACCTATTGATGTTGTTACATGTATTTATCATTTTTATATGCTTGATAAGTGTACGGATTCAACCACGTGTTTACCTTCTGTATACATGGCTATATTCATCCTTTTTGTCAATGATACGACTCTTCATTATCTTGGTTGATTCGGTTGAGTGCTCTTTCACTTACCATGTGAATACACTTTATCGGTTGCAAGGTGAATAGGGCTAAATAAAATACATCATTTTTTAAGTAGCTGCGTAATTCGAGTTTGAAAAAGCATGAACAAAAGTTTTCCAGCCAGCACCTATGTTATAACAGGCAAAAAGACTAAAGATAAATTTATTTCAATTTGAGCTGTAATTCGAATGGAGGCATGCATGTTAAACCAGCAGTCAAAAAAGTCAAACATGAATATTTATCATCATTCGAATTATAATTTGAACGAAGGTTTCCGTGTTAGTTTGGGTGGGGGTGAGCGTGTGCCTGAATGAACACATAACATCCACACACCTACACCCTGAAGATTATTGTAGGATTGCTTGGTTTCTAAAATTCTTATAAAAATACATCCATACTCCCACCCAATCAGTTATCTATTGCACTTAAGAATTTATTTCCTAAGCTGTTTTATTCAGAGATCAATTCATCTTACGGATCATGTTATATAACAATTAGTCCATTGAAAAGCTGTTGTTAAATTCATCATGTTATTGTAAACTGTGAAGAAAAAAAAACACTGGAGACAAGAAAACTAATTGTATAAGCTAATTCTAATTGATTTGTAATAAAGATTTTTCTTTTTTCTATTGATCTACTCTCAATTAACAATAAAAATAATTAAAAGAATATTTTCTATTCTATGACATTAAAAAACTCCATTGTTGACATTGATAACATTGTGTCTAAAACATAAAACAATTTAAATAATTAAGAGAAAATGAGATAGTTACATTTCACAACATAATTTAGCTGATCACACTCTCTCCGTTATAACTAGAGATGTTTGAAACCAAATTTTTCTGTTAGTCCCAGTCCTGGTCTAGAGAAAACTGTTTCAGAATTTATTCGTATCATATCTAAAAAAAATTTCCAATACTAATTATAATGAAACATCCCAAAATAAATGAACTGCTTAGTATTGTATTAATATATCGGTCTATGTCAATTAGTTTGACTTGAATTTTTTACCAAACAAAAATTTTTTTCTTTCAATTTTCTGTAAACATGCATAAAATGTTCGTGTCTTAAAAATAATAGTCCAAAATTTTTTACTGAAGATTGCACAACACCGAAGTGACGTATTTTGTAACAGTAATTTTCTTTTAATAATTAATTCTCTTTTCTCTCTGACTAGATATGTGTCTAGACACGCTCGTCTCAGTTTTCACATGCTTTCAAGCGTACTCTTTCTCACCATGCTTAATTAAGATTGTTTGAGAAACATTATGATGCATGCATGCGGAAATATCTTACAAAATGACGTGAAACTATCTAAATTCATATTTTCATAAAACTTAAATTCCATATTAGACCATCACGCATACTTGGCAAACAAATCATTTCTTTTCAAAATGACAATGATATTTTAACGTAAAAATTAATTATAGACGGAACACTAAGTCCATTTATTCTTGAACATTCGTTGCATTTATATGAATATTTTTCTAGACTATAAAAAAAGGATACTTATATAATCTATATATTTGCTGAGGAATAATCTTGAATTTGTTTTTCTATATTCATAACAGAATCCATGATTTAATTCTTTAGCGTTTCCAGTATTCATTTTATATAGGCAAAGATTAGGATTAAAGTGAATTCTCAACTTGAAAATCGCTTTCGAGTTCGCCACTCTTTACATAAAATAGACATCAATGAGATATTAAAACTCTCAAAAGGATGAATCTCCATATTAAGGGGAAACAGTTGTAATCCTTGGACTTTGGAAGTACATAGAAGCCAAGCCAAAAGGAAACAACGTTCTCCGATGCTCCCCAGAGTACAACAGGAGTAAAGTTTTATAAGTGAGAAAAATCTAGAGCTAAATCCAAGATGATAACGACGTACTCTCGTACTCCCCATACTCGAGAAAGTACGGGAGTATGCCGTTTCTTCTTGGTTTCTATGTGTTCTCTGCAAAATCATAGCCATTTTACTGAAACTTTGTCTATTAATAGGCTTAATTGTAACTAGAATATTCTAAAAGTTTTAGCTCAAAAGAATGTTCCGAGGAAAAAAACAAGACTCAAGAATTTCTCATAGAATATAAATGATTTTCGAAAATTCAATACCTCGTGGAGGGAACATTCTAACAACAAACAGGCTTATCTGCGGACGAAATTTCAAATCAAAATATCATCATTCGATTCTTTTGCACATACCATACTATAGACTAAAATTTCAGTAAAATAGTTACAACGTTGTAGGAGAGACGTAGAAACTTTTATCCTTTTTAGGTCTAACTGATACACAGTATCCGAACTCAAAAGCAATTTTCAAATTGTGAGCATTCTCTCATAATCTACAACAACTTTGATTCTAATTGAAATATTTTCATATACTGTCTGTAAGAATAAATTCACCATTGCACATATATCTCAAATCAAATATTTTAATCAAAACAAAAAGTAAGATAACGATAGACAATCAAATTATGACAACTTTTCAACATATTTAATTATACCTTTTCGTATACGTGTCAAATTATATACACTTAAGTAGTTATACAAATAATATAGAACCTATTCATTAATATTCTAAAAACAACTTGTTTCGTTTGTTCAGTCAACATATAGTATCGAATTTCATCACTTACTAAATATTCAACAAAAACACATCATTCAATTCTCGACATTATTTTTTTTTAAGATAAAATTTATAACGAAACAAATAATAATGACCTATCCGTAACGAATTTCCTTTTTGTTGTGATAGATCAATATATACTTTGAAGTTCTCTGTTGGTAGTATTTCTCTTATGATCAATCTAATGTCTAGCTAAATCATCAAAAAAAAAAAGAAAAAAAATCTCTGTGTGAGGAAAGCAATCAGATGACTTAATCTTTGTTCTTTTATCTTTCAATCCTCTCAGCATGAAACAAATCGTGTGAAGATAATTATATTTTATTTTTTCACATTAACACCGGATCAATAAAAACAAAACAAAAAGAATCTCTTCACTTTTTTTTTCTATGCAATAGGTTCATTAAAAGCAAAAAGAATTTTTTTATCTAATTGTAATGGTTCTATTAAAGAATGATTTGTTCGATATTTCAATAAATTAATTGTTATACTAATAAATGTTAATGAATGAAGTATAATTATAATTAAAACAATATAGAATGAATATGATATATTAATTAAATGTATATAATCTTTTGTTGTTTGCCAAACAAGATATATCATTATTGATAAACATAAATATGTTAGAATAGTAAAAATAAGAAGTGAAAAAAATGATTTTAATAGCATATGAGATTGACGACAAATAATAATAATTAACCAAATAATACCACTTATATCGGCTAATAATACTGATACAAATGAAAGAATTTGTAAAATAAATAACATACGACCTTAAGTTTAAAAAAAAGATTCACTTTATTTTTTGTTTTTCAATGCAAACTTTTTATCTTTTTTTACCTTCTGATGTTCCAATTTGTGGTTCAACAAGTAACCATGATGAAGATACTGATCGAGCTCTCCAAAGACCAACTTGAAGTGTTTCCGATGACCACCAATACGGCAATAACATAGCAATAGTGGTTAATAAAGTTGAACATGGAACAGTTATCAAAAACATATTTTGTAAAATAAACATCATTGTTTCTTTTTTGTTTTTGCTCGAATGAAATGAATGAAGTGTTCATTTATTTCCTTCGTCAATATATTTATATACATATCCTTTCTCTTTCTCTCTTTCTCTTTCCCGTTTTCTCTCCCACGATATCAGGTAGTCCATGCAATACATATTGTGTGAACACCAATTGACAATTCTTCCTGTTCGTGAGAAAGCATCGATCGAATGTGAATGTGTAAATGACATTCAATCACTTTGCTATGGATATTTACACACGTATTTGTATTGTCATGAAAGATGAGAA